TTAAGAGCTGCAAACCTCTTAAGTACATCCTACCAGTGTATTAGACTAAATAAAAAAGAGTCAAACCGCACATATCCTATGCTTGTAGGAATATGTCTCGAGAGCTCAACAACATAACAAATATGGGAATAAAAATCCAAGTGAATGAGATGATTGTGTAACACTATATTATCAAAAATACAGTAATGAGTTATATTAAAATAAGGTTACTTGGATATACTGTTAAAGTCCACTGCTACAAATTATTAATATAATTCACAGAAGTGTGTCTACTGGTAGCAGGTGTGTGGCGGTTGTAGAGTTGTCTTCGGTTAAGGATAATAGATTCCTGCAATAAATCCAAAGTTTACAACATGGTATAAGTGTAGCAAGTAGACAGTAATGGCCAATGAGAACGCGAAGCTACCAACAGTATAGTGTATTTCGAATTGTACATGGAAGTTATATGTATTTAAACATGAATCGTTTTAGACAAAAGTCATGTACATTGTCTCTAATTTCAACGTCCAACAAAAAGTGTACAATCATATTGTTACGTACTCCACATACTTTTCAGGTTTGATAGCTTTATAATAGCCGAACAATTTAGGAAATCTAGGGGTATTTTTGCCTCTAATGCATAATTCAAATATCTTAAAATAGTCTCGGACAAAGCCCCCAATCAACGAGAAGCACCTAAGAACACCTTAGATACGACTCATTTTGTCCCACACTGACTCTCCAGTGACTGATATCTTACAAGTGCCTTTCATACAGAGTGGAAAACATGCAGATTTAACTTGAGATTAATGAGTCCTGCTGTTTTACTTAACAAATGAGAGCTAGTGCAATGGTAGACACATCATACGCATTACCATTTCTTCACATCGATCCTTCTTTCTCCGGTATGTATGATAAAAAGACTTTATGAAGTAAGTAACCAGTGGAGATAGAAAGTCTAAAACCTGAAGAGCACGGGTACAAAAATGAAGAGTTTCAACGAAGGTTTAAAGGTGCTTGGAAGATGAAGGATTTTTCCCGTCAAACCTGATATCCCATATTCAGACGCAGCTCTATATCATTCATTTCCTAAACTATGTGCCCCAATTAGAAGGGCAACCATTAGAAAGTAAAAGAAAAATGACGGATCTATCATGTAAAATATGAAACACATTTTGGGACCAGAAGTGTAAAGGATTGATTTCTGCCTAGCTGGACATAATGTCTGTACAAACGACCTATCATAACTTGACACATGGTGTGGGGGCTTGGCCGTTTATCCTCGGAACTCTTAAACAGCGCAAAGTATTATCGAATGGTGAAAGCTGGCGGTCTCAGTGAATTATTTGCCGCTATAAGTTAGTCAATATAAAAAGCGATATATCACTTACAAACATATCACAGGAAATTAGGAGCTTTACTTTAAATATATAGTTCGAATTCTACCGTGGTAAGGACAGCTTCTGGACGGCTTCATTTTGAATACAATGTTCCGATTTAGTCAGAGCATCCTCAGTTGTGTGTAGCAGACGTGGCCAAACTTGGATTGATGATTCTTCTTCTCACCAAGAGTGCTTCATCCCTTAGCCCTCTTGGTTGTTTCTTTCCCTTTTATTACAATTATTAGCATTCATCATAATTCATAACATTCATGCGACCATTCTCTCGAAATTATCGAATTTTCCGCCTCTACTATTCGGGCTTATTATTAGTGCTAATATCACTTTTCTCAAAATGTGCCTTCACCTGTTCCATTTCACACATTCAGTATTTGATTATGAAAATCTCATTGCACACTTACTATCTACTGTTTAATACAGACCACTTTATACTAGCCACTCAACTCAAAAATTTTATACCCCTCAACTGACTTGTCAATTTTCGCGAACTGCACGGAGGGTATTAACTCAAGATCTTATACCAACAACTTCTTTCTTATTTGATTCTCGTGTCCCAAAGGCAAGCCAAAACACCACAATTGATTGTCCAAATTACGATATATATTTCGGAACCAAATCGCGGATTGAAGCGGAAGCTAAGCTAACTAGTTATCGTGCACGAAAGTGTTACGACGGAGTACCAAATGGCGAGGATGCTTGACCGGAAGCCTTCAGCTAAACAAGTCGACTTTAACTCTACGGGTCAGCATCCAATTTTCGCTGATGATTATTATGGTCGCGATGTAGTTCTTTTCTTAGGCATAATCTATTCCTATGGTCAATAATTTTGGGGAATTATTTACGGCATGTTGGAACATAAGGGTGTAATACACAACGATCCTCAGGCTATAAGTGATCTCCTCAGTGAGTGGTTTTGCAATGACACCAGAGAGCACTCGACCAGAAATTTCCAAATGACCTGCAAAAGTGACCACAAATTAGGAGAAATAGGTTTTAATATACAAAATATAGACTCAGCGATTAAGACATTGAAGTCAAATGGCAGTACTGGAACAGACGACATACCATCTGTCATATACAAAAATGGTAGCACGGAAATGGTAGTCTTGTTACTTAGAATATTTACTCTGTCACTGGAAACTGGAACTTATCCTGAAGTGTGGAAAACCACATACATATTACCTAAGCACAAAGCAGGGGCCAAAACCAGTGCATGCAACTATAGACCTATTAATATAACACCGGTAATATCACGAATAATGGAGAAAGTGGTTAAAGACCAAGTGTCAGACAACTTACTAGAACATGAACTTATCAATCCATCACAACACGGATTCCTCAAAAAGAGATCATGTGCGACCTGTCACATAGACTTTTTCAATGAAGTTACACGAAGCAGGGACAACAGAGAACTAGTAATTGTGCTATATTTCGATATAACAAAAGCCTTCGATAGAGTCCCCCATAATCTGCTAGTCAGCAGGTTATGCTCACTAGGGATATGTGACCCTCTCCTGAGCTGGATAAAATCATTTCTGTGTGACAGGAATCAGATAACAAAAGTTGGCTCGATAATCTCAAGGCCTAAACCAGTAAGTAGTGGTGTAATCCAGGGAAGTGTATTAGGCCCACTCCTATTCATAATATATATAAACAGTATCTGTGAATGCTTTAGTGTTGGTAAACCAATACTATATGCAGATGACTTAAAAGTGACCTATAAATGCAAGAACACAGATCTCGGAATAACAGTAAACGCCATACAGCAAGAATTAGAAAAAATGGATAGATGGTGTGACACCTGGCAACTCCAGTTTAATGTCGACAAATGTGGCTGGCTCTGCATAGGTTGCAACAATTTAGAACTTGACCTGACAATTCAAGGCCATGCACTCTTACGACTGGAATCTGTATTGGACCTAGGACTGAAATACTCACATGACTTATCATTTTCTGAACATATCTCCAAACAAGTGTCAAAGTCACGCAGACTTATCGGCTTTCTACTCAGGAACTTTTACAGAAATGAGTCCAGAATTCTGTTGTACAAGGTTTGTGTGCGTCCTTTATTTGATTACTGTTCATTCATGTATAGTAGTATACGCATAGAGGACAAATTGAAAGTCGAGGGAGTGCAGAGGTACTTCACGTCAAAATTACTCGGAACCGAAAATGGTGCGAACTACTCCACTAGATGTGACACCCTAGGATTAGAAACACTATGGCTAAGACGCCTGAGACTAAACTTAACACTTTACTATAAGCTTCTAAACCACTTAGTTTTTACCTCTACTAATGGCATTCGACTTTCAGATGACAGTGTCTACAAACTAAGACACACTAAGGGTACAGTAGCTATCGAACAATGTAAAACAGCTACCAGGCAAAAGTTTTATTTGATTAGGTATGCACAGATATGGAATAAACTACCAATGGAAATGCGTCAAGCAGGTACATTGGCCTCATTCAAAAAAGTGCTTAACGACAAACTACACGAGTTTGCAAACGACAGTAGTCTTAGTTCCTATCTGAGAGCCTCCGAAATTATAGGTCCATTTAATGTATAAGTTCAAATACTACACCTGCTGTTTTTGCCTATATTTATAATTTTAGATAAAACATTGACGATTAAGATACTTACCCTCAAACAGACAAGAAGTTTCGTTTGTAAAACTTCTACCCAACACAATAAGTGGAATAAAATGGACATAAACCGACAACATGAAAAAGATATAACTCACCACAACATCACATGGACAGATGTACGCTCGTCGGACATCATATATGCCCCACCAACTACAACCCAACATTCCTGAGATAATGTGATGAACTTATATCCGTAATGTTGCTGAGCAGTCAATATCCACAACTCCTGTCGGAACAACTAAAATTCAAAAACCTTCCTCACGAGAAGTAAATACCCACAAGCAGTAGAAATCCATTAATTAATGCGTCTAAAGCTTATGTATTTTACTCCCAACAATGACATTGCAGATCAAATGAGATAAACATATCACTGATTTCAAAATAACACATCAATGAACTATAATTCAAGGACTCTGCACACAACAAAATTATGTGTGAAAACTGACTTCAAGCTTTATTTTTTTCCCAGGCACTTATAACCCATCCACCAAAGACCTGGTTTTTTTGTTAATGCGAAGACAATACTTCTGTATTTCCTGATGTGTTGCACTCACTGAAAATCTAGCGGATTTTTCCAACTATGCACAGAAATGATTGTACATAAGTGAAAAGGATGTTTTATACTATTGGGATTAACATTTATCAAGTGTATGTATAATCTCCAGTGTACACGTTAAAAATATTTTGCCATCGATTGTAAAATATGACTGAATAATATGGTTCTATGTCTGTAAAAATTCGATGATGCAAGAAAACTACCGACCTCACGTACTGCATCATGATTATTCATTTTGACACCCATAACTAATCTGTTATTCCAAGTAAAAAAATCTATTCACCACATAACTGGCGAATACTGTAACGACAACAAATATTATATTATTATTGAAAAGCATATTCTTCGTTCAGATAGACATATACTGATATTGAAGGCGGCATTTCGTAGTGGTTGTTTCGTTTCCGCGTGGAAAAGTTATGAGTTGGGTTACAATATTCAAAAGCCTTTTGATAATAGCAATAATTCCACATCTCGCCTGTGCGTCTGCCTGTCAAACTGATGAATCTGCTCATATCCTTTTGATACAAAAGATCGGGAGTAATAAGTGTTTAGTAATCGCTTATGTACATTTTCACTCGGTTTCTATTTAGGACTTGGCTTCCCTTATGCAAGGTTTCTCCAATATCTCATGTATAATGTGAATCGTGGTTGTTTTGTTTCGGAAAACCCATACGAAAATATTCAACAGTCAATAGGCTCTGGTGGTATTATACTTGCCCCCAGTGTGGTGAGCTCAGTAGATTTTACTCAGACAAATCCTTTTTATGAAAAATCAACTCGTACATTGTAATGTTTGAGTGTAATACACGGTTTGTCCTGAAAAAATTAGGAGTTAATACCCTGAATTCGCATTCATGTAGGGAGTGTCTAAGGCATACACCATTTTTCTCAATTGACTGTAGAATGAAGGTCCATTTTCGGTCACAGCAAATGGACTTAAGGTGTTGCTACTTTAGAGGTTCAGGGTGTTGAGGTTCACTGAAAGTACGGTTTATAATAACGATAGGTCTAATACCCACAACTTCTATGGTATTCGTTCCTAGTAGACCAAAGCCAAAGCATAATGCCTTCGTCCATATTACGAAGTATATTTCGAGACCAAATCGTAATGCGAGCCAGATTGATTAACTAGCTAGGGATCGTGTACGAACGAACGAAAGTAACACGACGATAGGCCAAGTGGCATGGATATCTGACCGTGAGTCTGTAGCTAAACAAATCAACTTAAGCAGGGAAGGTAATCATCGGGTGTTTAGTTATGAATGCTGTGGCTAATAATTTTGTGGAATTACCTATAGCTAAAGTACAATGTGACTAGCCAGAGGACTGTACTAGTTCACAAGTGGATGCGAGGAATGACCTTCCTGACATAGCCTAAACAGGCGTGGTATTTGAACTTCAAGATGACATCTTCGTAAGCGGTTGATTTTGGAGGGGAGAAACAGATACCATAAAGTGGCAACCATGCCCCCGCTTTAAACACAGAATGATTAAATGAGGTCAATCTGCAAACATCAAAAACGTATTGTAGATGTGTTATTTAATTTCTGTACTCTTGGAATTTGCAAGACATGGAATTCATTGTAGGCTGACACATCTACCTCCCTATCAGTTGATAGTTTTAAGGGATGATTGAATAAATACGTAACTTTCAACTACCTGCACATATCTGTTGACAGAAAGATCTGTCTCTGTGGGACGGTATTGACACTACAATCATCCCATGAATCCTCTCTTAATTTCATCTCTTCTGTAACTTGTTTTCTCTCACTTCTTTTGCCTGAGATGTTTGTCTGTTTTCCTTAAATCTTGTTTCATGTAACCACTTCCTTTTGTACACTTCTCTTCCCCTAATATCTGCTTTGCTTTCGTCTAGCCTGTTAGTGTGACGGCTACAAATATTAGGAATGACGTCACCAAGGAACACATTATTTACTTCTCCCACAAAGAAGACTAATATCGCATGATTCACGAAATTTCACAGTTCTACATTGGACAGTGGAGCAAATGTATCTCGCAAACCAGCAGACACATGTAACTTTTTCATACTATATGTAATCTTACGCTTATTTGTCAACAACTCTATAATATTTGTCGCCTACTAGTTACTTTTGGTTCATGTTTCATCACTCTAACATATCACTTTTCATCATGTATCAGTATCTTTATTTCTTTGTGCTTTGGTTATGGTAAGCTCTTTCATACCTCCCTTTTTGAATTTTTTCTTACCTTTTAGCCATGCGTTCATTTCGATTTTCAACGTATTTGAATGATTGTTTAAGATTAAACTATCTGCTTTAGTTAATTATCATATTTGCCAATGAAAACTGCATCAAAATTTAGATATTATCTTAGTTCAGTATAGTGAGAAGTATTTGAAGGATTCTATATGAGTTTCCTAAATGTAGCGTCATATATGCCCCTGTAGTGTAAGAGATTAGAAAAATACCAGTGACCTCAAAGTGAATTCATCGACTGGAAGTATAGTCTTGATGTTGTCATTTAAGTATTAGTACGATAACCTATGTTTGACGACAGATTTCCATTATATGTATACTTCAACAGATACATTCAACAAGGTGTATGCCACTTCAACAGGAATGTAGGTAGTATTCACACTCAGTTTTGCAAATATTTCTAAATGTCGTTTGTTTTTATGTAGTGCTCTGAAGCATCTGGTTAATCTACTGACCATGTTTAGATCATAGTAGCCTAAACTCAAAAAATAACCCGATGTTAACGACGGATATCAAATTTATTATCCTTTTCAAGTTTGATTTCCATTTGCTTATATGACTGAGCTTTGCATCCGGAGTGACTTATAGGGACATACTAAGGAGTCTTGGATGCCGTTGAATTCTCTCATATTATACTTACTTGCTTAGTCTGCATTTTCAGATTTCGCGGAAAACGATGCGCAGATGATCAGACTAAGACCTTCCGATAGCCTTTACATTCAGATATTTTCCACAGTTATAGGTTTGCTGTAATGCTTTCCTACACACTTTCACTAGCTGATGTAAGTTTATATAAATATTGGCATGCTGACATATGTTTACCACATAGTTCTTCTGTTTAATTAGATGGGTAGTTCTCATCATTATAGTTCACTGGAACACTACCCTGGCAGACTACTGTCTTCGGCATTTAGAATATACTATGAAACAAGGAGAGAAATTTCGTGAGCGTCAATATTAAGGTGACTGTTCATTGTCAAATTTCGTGTTCTTCAAACTCCAACTAAATGACTCATGTTGAAACTGCTCACTTCGCTCTTTCTACTGTCGTACCTGCCTAGAGTACGGAAACACATACTTTTATTTTATTCACTCATCTACTTGGATTAGTACCCATTTCCTCCAGAAGAATATAATAATCTAAACAGGATCCCATTTCCTTGTATTGATATTGGTTTTGTGAACTTGGAATGATAAACTATCTAATTTAGTGAATACAGGCATAACCATACGATAACCTTTATCCTTCTCTGTGTTACCTGATGATTATTTGATTTAACCTATAACCTGATGTATGTGACCGTGTAACAGAGTATTTAATTTTATAAATAATCAGATATAAAGGGTGGTCTTTTAAATACCCTTTTTCTAATTATAGTGCAGATATTCTCCCTTCAGTAGGTTGGTGCTTATGCTAAATGTTTATGATTTCATTCTCCATCATTTAGCATGCATATATTTCCATATTAGTTTGATTTTTAAATGTATCACACAGTGAAACAGTATTGTATACTGGATGACGTTTCGTACACACTGAGGGAGTTGCCATGGGATAACCAATATTCCCGGTGGTAGCAGATATATTCATGGATAGGTGGGAAAAATGGCGATTGAAACGTTCACCCCCACCCCGAAAGTATGGTGGAGGTATGTAAATGACACATTCACTGTACTTAGAACACAAGATATAAATAGATTTTTCGAGCACATCAACTCAAAGGTATAGGCAATTCAATTCACTTATGAATTGGAAAGTCAGGAAGGGGAACTTCCAATGTTGGATTGCAACGTTAAAAGGAAAGAAGATGGGAAGCTAAACACTAGTGTTTACAGAAAACCCACACATTCAAACAGATATTTGGATTTCCGATCATCCCATCCTATGTCAGTAAAAATAGGATTAGTGAAATGTTTGAATGACAGAGCAGAAAAAACTAAGTAGTACCAAGGAAAATCTAAGACAGGAAGTGACACACATAAAAGAAGCCTTGAAACTTAATAATTACCCGGATAAATTAGTCAAGAAATGTGTAAGTAAATGTAAAAATAAATAATGATAACAGAGATAGTGATAATAATAATAATGATAACAATAATAATAATGGTAATAATAATAATAATAGTGATAATAATAATAATATTAATAACGACACCAACAATAAGGAATGTAAATCATCAACAATAATTCCATAAAAAAAGAAGGAACCTCGGAAGCCTTACGCAGAATTCTTAACAAGGCAGGAATAAAAGTGGCATTCAAACCCACAAACTCAATTAGAAACAAGCTTTGTCGGTTAAAGCATCCTGTAGAGCCATTAAAACAAAACAATTTAGTTTATCTAATACCCTGCAATGATTGTGAGGTCAAATACATAGGTCAAACTAGTAGAACAGGGGCAGTCAGACTAGCCGAACATAAAAACCTAGCTAAATCTAGATTGGTTGACCCGAATAAGATAAGAAATCTATAGAGTAGTTCAGCTATAGCCCCACATGCAGTTACACACAACCATACAATAGGATGGGATAGGATGACAGTTTTAAAATCTAGTGTCACAGGGTATAGGGAGAGATTGAAAACAGAAGCTTTGTTTATCGAATCAAATGCAAATACATGTAATAGGAATGACTCAACACCTGTCCCAGATATATGGAAAATTCTACTGCCCATACAACAAATACGAGAAGACAGAGAAAACTATAAAAATCAAATCTCGAAGTCGTGTGACAAAAATTGATATGATTATGAAAAAACAAATTGTGTTCGAAACGTCATCCAGTATACAATATTGTTTCACTATGTGATACACTTAATAATCAAACTAATATGGAATTACTTAATCAAAGAGTGCCCAAGTTTCACATATATATTAACAAGAACGTATTATTGGTGCGTTGGCTACAACCACAAACCGTGGTTTACGTGCTTTAGTTATTGAGCCAGGCAGTGGATACCTCACAGCAGCTATTTCGATTTTGGTAAGTCTGTTTTGATAAAATATAATGTTTATTATTTTTGTGTTGGATGTATTTGTCGTTCACGGAAAGCCTTGGATTAATGTTCCATGGATATTAACACTAGTTATCAGATTAATATGTGTAGACCTTAAGAAACGTTGAGGCTGAGTTATGCTAATTACTACAATATCTACATCGAAGTGTTCTTGTGGGCGTATTTTGAACATTTATCATCAAATACAATGTATTATGATACCACTTTACTTAGTATAATGAATAATTTCTAAAACAATCAACATTTATTCATTAACGCTTAGAGTCTGATGGTATTGACGTTCGCGAATTGTACGAAGTATATTAACTCAAGATCTTATACCAACAACTTCTTTCTTATTTGATTCTCGTGTCCCAAAGGCAAGCCAAAACACCACAATTGATTGTCCAAATTACGATATATATTTCGGAACCAAATCGCGGATTGAAGCGGAAGCTAGGCTAACTAGTTATCGTGCACGAAAGTGTTACGACGGAGTACCAAATGGCGAGGATGCTTGACCGGAAGCCTTCAGCTAAACAAGTCGACTTTAACTCTACG